TTTTCAAAATCTGATTTTACATATTCTATTGCTTAAAGCCCTAATGTTAGAAAGGATTGGAATTAAAAGGAACAATGAGGAAAGACAGGGTACATACAGAGCGAGCGTTTTACCTGGCAAAGCCAACGCCTCTGCTGACTCCATTAGCATCTCTCAGTATTCTTGTGGAGATGACATGTCCGAAGGGCTTCAGCATATTCTCAAGCTCCTGCTCATCCATAGAAATGGGGAGATTCGAGATGTACAGATTTGTTGGATCTTGTTCTTGTTGCTAAGGGAAGGAAAGAAACAAATGCAGTAAGTTCTGAATATTAAGAATCATCTCACAAGTGAAGAGATCCCTGCTTAAACTGCAATCTAGATTCTAATCTCCAATCTACTCTTGAAAGTGCTTTCATCAGGAGTACTATTTCTTTTTACTGAAGTTCCTTTTTTTTGTGCAGAAAGTTTTTCATAGAAATAATGTCATCATTGAAAGTCAAGCTCTCTCTGTATATCCTCAGAAAAGAGGAATGATTGAACTAAGGTAAATAGGGATAGTGTAGCCCTTCCTTATCCACAGGGGATTTATTCTAAGACCACCAATCCACCAAGGGATGCCTGAAGCCACAGATGTCATTGAACTCTATAATTTAATATTTTTCTTTTTTTTTTTTTTTTTGGTGTTGCAGAGGATAAAACTTTGGGCCTCACACATGCCAGACAAGTGCTTTACCACTGAAGCACATTTCCAGCCTAAACTGTGGCTTAACTTTTGTAGTTTGAAGTACAATACCAAAATTAGCAATGAATTTCTATTTCTTTCTTCAAAAATTCTTGGATTCATGGATAAAATATTTATTCTTATTCTAGGTCTATGCAACATCATGATAGGATTTATTTTTCTTAAGTTATAGTCTTTCATCTTTTCAAGTAAATAAAGCATTTTACAGCTTCTTTTTGATATATCCAAATTATCAGCATCACTACTCATTCTTGTGCACTGAGGCCATTATTTAGTAGAACAAACTACTAAATATTGCCATAGCTGATCTGATAACTGAGACAGCCACTAATGAGAGTGAGCAGCATATACAGCATGGATACACTGGACAAAGAGACAGGACAAAGCAGGATAGCAAAAAGATTTCATTGTGATTGCACTTTAAACTTTATTAATTATTATGAACTTAATTCTAGAATTTTCCATTTACTATTTTTTAGACTGTGGTTGGCCACAAATAATTAAAACCCAAGAAAGTGATACAACAGATGGGGCATGGGGCTACTGGATTGTTTTCTAGCCACTATTGTTACTATTTGCAGTCTAATTATCATCACCTCTAGTTATGGAGATTGCCTTTGAGGTATTGTTCTTAGCACTTATGAGCATTATTTCACTCAATAGTCTCAACAAATAAATTACCATTTTATGGATGATAAAAAGCTATCCCTAATTTGTCCACATTGCACAGATTACAAGTTTCAAAGCCAGGGCAGATATCTTGGCCTATCATCCAGCCATAGCTTCTTTACTCTGCTATTGCCTTCTGCTAGACCAGAGGGTCTCACAGT